ATCAGCCCAGCTCTGGCAGTTGCAGCCATTTGGAGAGTGAGCCAACCAATGGGAGATCTCTCTCTCTCTCTCTCGCTCCACACCTTCCTTCCCTCCCTCCCTCCCTCCCTCCTTCTCTCCCTCTCCCCCCTCCCACCTCTCTCTAACTCCACCTTTCAAAATAAATAAATAAATCTTGAAAAAAATAGGATTGCCTCAAATGGGTTGATTTGTGTTATGTAGGAAAACCCCCTATGTTTTGATTCTTTTTTTTTTTTAAAGATTTATTTATTTGAAAGAGTTACAGAGAGGCAGAGGCAGAGAGAGAGAGAGAGAGATGTCTTCCATCTGCTGGTTTACTCCCCAGGTGGCTGCAACAGCTGGAGTTGGGCTGATCTGAAGCCAGGAGCCAGGAGCTTCTTCTGGGTCTTCCACGACAGTGCAGGGCCCAAGGACTTGGGCCATCTTCTACTGCTTTCCCAGGCCATAGCAGAGAGCTGGATTGGAAGTGGGGCAGCCGGGACTGGAACCGGCGCCCACATGGGATGCTGGTGCCGCAGCAGCTGCCTTGCCCGCTTTGCACAGTGCTGACCCCCGTGTTTGATTCTTGAAGCAGGCAGTGGTGGAAGAGCAGTTTGCCCTGTATTATTTGTGGGCTGTTTGTGGCTGTGGGCTGTAGTCTTTTCTGTATGTTGGTGATCATTTGCAATGGAGGAGGAGCATGTCTGTGTGTCTGTAAACTATGTGTGTAGTGTATGTATGTATATGTGTATGTGTGTAGTGTATGCATGTATATATGTATATATGTGTATGCATATATGTGTAAACATGTATATTGTGTATGTATATATGTGTGTGTAGTATTTGTATATGCGTATGTGTGTAGTGTATGTATATGTGTATATGTGTGTAGTGTGTGTATGTGTGTATGTGTAATGTATATATGTGTGTGTATGTGTGTAGTGTATGCATATATGTGTATGTGTGTATATATGTGTATATGTGTGTGTAGTCTGTATATATGTGTATATGTGTATGGATATAGTGTATGTATATGTGTATGGATATAGTGTATGCACATATGTATGTGTGTATAGTGTATGTATATGTGTGTGTAGTGTATGTATATATGTATGTATATGTGTATATGTGCATAGTGTATATGTGTATGTGTGTAGTGTATGCATATATGTGTATGTGTGTATATATATGTGTGTGTAGTCTGTATATATGTGTATATGTGTATGTGTGTATAGTGTATGTATATGTGTATGTGTGTATGTGTGTATAGTGTATGTATATGTGTGTAGTGTATGTATGTGTGTATATATGTGTGTAGTCTGTGCGTATATGTGTATAGTGTATAGTGTATGTATATGTGTATGTGTGTATGTGTGTGTATAGTGTATGTATATGTGTGTGTATGTGTATGTGTGTGGGGGGTGGATCTCCAGTCTTCAGCAGCAGAGCCTAAAGCTCCAGTGCTGCTGGTTAATTTCGGTTAACCTTTGGCCTCTCCCTTCCCCCTTCTAGAACAGAGCCGCGTTGAGGCACTGAGTGCATGCTAAGACGGGGCTTCCTGAGCTCGCTTCTCTGCGTGAGACCTGAGCGAATGCAGGAGAGACGGTTCTGAGGGGAGGACAGGTGTGGGAAGGGAGCTCGGTGCTGGAAGTGCGTGGTGCCCAGATGGGAGGCCAGCAGGCCTAAGCCCGGCTTCTCCTGCTGTCTCGCCTTGGCAGCTCCATGGGACTGGGTGGCACGTGTGGCGCAGCCCCAGCGGAGCAGAGGAAGCTGGTGAAAGTGCGGTGTTCTGGAGGAGCAGGGACTGCGTCCAAGGGTGAGCTCAGTCACATGAAGAAAGCCAGTGCGCGTGGCCTGGCGGCCGTGCTTTCAGAGGGCGCTGAGTATTGAAGTGGGTGCTAGCTTAAGCGGGTCCCCCATGTGGGCTCGTTTTTACTAACACGGCTTTTAGGACCTGGAACTGTGTAGGTAAGAGAAAGCATGTGGGAACACCCTCAGGGCCTGTCAGCAGCCGTGCAGACGTGAGACAGCAGCTCCCATTTGGATGTAGGGGAGCGGGCATTAGATGGTGTCCCGGGGACACCCATGTCACTGTCTGGGTGCTGGTCACTTAGTCCTGAAAGTCCTGTTTTCTAGAAGCCTCACAATGCTTTTTGTGAGTTTTTTTTTTTTAAAGAGTTATTGATTTATTTGAGAGGCAGAGTTACCAACAGAGAGAGAGAGAGAGACAGAGAGACAGAGAGACAGAGAAAGAGGTCTTCCATCCGCTGGTTCACTCCCGAAATGGTCATAATGGCTGGAGCTGGGCCTATCTGAAGCCAGGAGCCTGAGGCTTCTTCTAGGTCTCCCACATAGGCGCAGGGGCCCAAGCACTTGGGCCATCTTCCACTGCTTTCCCAGGCCACACCAACAGGGAGCTTGATCGGAAGTGGAGCAGCCAGGACTTGAACTGGCACCCATATGAGATGCCAGTGCCACAGGTGGAGGCTTAGCCTACTATGCCACAGTGCCGGCCCTTTTTTTGGGTATTTGAGAGAGAGTGAGCAGGTGCGAGGGCTTGGGAAAGCCATCATTTAGTGTCTCATCTGAAAAATTATGATTTGGGTATTATGTATAACCAAATACTGGCTTCTTTAAGAAAACATGTAGACATGACTTTCTGTTTTACAGTGTTCTTCAGGGTTTTTGTGTATGTGTTTATTAATTTTTGGAAGGAAACCAGGTGAGTGAGTAAGCAGCCTGAGCAGGGGTCAGGGAGCAGACGGGGCTGGGAGCCGCCCAGGTTTGTGCTGCAGCTGGTTCTGCGTGGCTGTGGCTAACGTGCCATTCGTCTTTCTCTCCCTTCCATTGGTGTTGCTGGTATTGGACTCTGCTTCTGCTCCTCCCCCAGTGTGGGGGAAGCAGCCCTGTTGAGGAAGGCACCGTTCACTTACTGTGTAAGTCAGTAAAGCCCCGAAGAGAACAAGGCCTTATGTCAGTGAGCTTATTAATAGAACAGTCACGAGAATCCATGTTGGGCGCACAGACCCCTCCGCTCTCAGGGCTGGCGCACGTGGAGTCCCACCTGGGGGCAGCAGCCTGCGGGTGTGAGACTCTGCCTTGTGACAGCGGGGTGCTCATGTGGCTGGTGTGAAAGCAGTGGAGACGACGCCTGGGGCCACTGCTAGGGCTGGGCCACTCCTGGGTGCTTCAGGGGAGCGGCCTGGGCTCCGTCCTCACCCACTGCTGTTCCCCCGTGGTGCCTGTGTTCTGGATGTCATGTAGTCCTTGGTGCTGGCTCCCCGCTGAGCCTGCCTGTAGGACCACATTGCCCTGCAGGGTCACATGTCCAATTCAGGATCCCAGAACAAAAACAAGATTTGGAGACTAGACCCACGGGGGAGTCCATAGAATAATGGCTCTGAGGCTGCTGTCTGAGCCCGGGGCCTCCCGCCGGTGCATGCCGGTGCCTGTCGTTCCTCATGGGGCTCCAGGCCTGTCTCTCGTTCCCAGGAGGAACAGGGTCCCTCCCTCAGTTGCTGTTGTGTGTTCTCCTCATTGGACATCCCTCCCACAATCCTCCGGTCAACATCTGTCTCCCAGTGACCCTGGATTAGAGTGGGGTGTAGAGAAAGTGTTGGGCTTCTTAGAGCCAAGTCCTGGGGCCAGAGTACTTGGGTTCACACCTGACCGCACTGCCCTCAGGCCGAGGTCCTTGGGAAAGGCCAACCTTTGTGGTCATTTTTAAAAAAATTTTCATTTTAGCTGACATACAGGAATGTGTGCGCGTGGAGTGCTGTGTGATGTTCCTGTCCGTGTGTTCACGGCGCCTGGTCCAGCCAGAGTGGACAATCTACCGCATCAGAGGTGTTTTGTATTTCTTTATGGTGGAAGCCGTCAGGATCCTTTCTCTGGGTTCCTTTCTATTTGGAGAAGCATAGACTGCGTCGTCATCGTGTGCAGTCCCCCTGTGTGACGCCGGAGCGTCTCACGTGCAGCTGTGGCTTGGTGCTGTCAGTCACCTCCGCCCCACTGCTGTTGTTTCCTAAGATGACAGAATGTCAGTGTCCTCCTCAAAGGGCTGTTTGAGGGGCACGTGAGGGGCACGTGAGTGACTAGAGGTGAAAGTGCTTGGGACGGCGCCACCTGCAGCGAGCGCTTTGATCTGCAGGGACCCCGCTCCCGCTGCACTCGCATTCAGGTCTCTGGCCCTGGACCGGCCCCAGGGGCGTCTCCCGGGAGCAGGCACATGCATGCCTTGCAGACTGGAGTGAGCAGGCCTGTGGGCGTGCACGCTGGCAACTCCTCCCGGTGCGAGTGTGTGCGGAAGTGTGGTCCCAGGCGCCGCATACCACACTCCTGCAGGCGGCTCCTGGCGGCCCAGGCACTTCCACACCTTTATTTGGAGCCTGGATTCGGGCGCTGTGTCCGCCGCAGGCTCCCTCTGCTGGCCCACAGGCGTGTGTGCAGATCTGTATCTAAATTTACTTTTTTTGATTTTTAGAGGTGTTTGCATCAAGACACAATCGAACCCCTTTTTGGTTAATGAGCAATACCAATCACATCGGAAATACTCCCTTTTGCATTCACATTTTGAGTTGTGACCTGCAGAGTTGCAGTTGGAACTTGCAGAGTTTTTGGTCACGGTGGTTCTCATACAGTGGCAGCTGTGACACGCTAAGAAGCTTCTCCGTGGCACAGTGGCCTGGGTGAGAGCATCGTGCTTCGTTTGCCAGGCTATGGTGCCGGCTGTCTAGCATCTTGCTGTGACTGTTGGTGCCGACTGTCTAGTGTGTTGCTGTGACTGTTGGTGCCGACTGTCCAGTGTCTTGTTGTACCAGTCTCGGGCAGAGACTCTGCTGTGAGAGGAGTGAGCTGACGGTTTCAGAGGCTAGGTGGGATGTGGTTAAGGTACTCCTGGGACACGATTGACCACGTGTCAGAAAATAGCACCTCGGATTCGCTGGGTGGGGTGTTATTATTTGAATTTATCAGTAAGCTGTGCCATGATGTCCCTGTGCTGCCTTTAAGATGACTGACTTGCTTCTTTGCATTCTCTGTGTTGCGTCTCCTTTCCTTCCCTCTTTCTGCTACCAGGATCCAGCAGCATAAATCGGGTAACTGCAAGCATGGAGAACGGAGACAATGAAGAAACGACCACAATTATCGCACCGTCCCCCCTGAAGAGGTCAGTGCCGCCAGCCGAAGAGGCCCAAGCGAGTTCTCCTGTTGCAACACTACACAGCCTCTCACTCGGATAGTTAACAGATGCTTTGGACCCGCGGGCTCCAGGAAATAATCTCTGGGTGGGAGAGTCCCTGAAGCGGCCGTGGAACAGAGCCCCGCAGCACTGCCTCTCTCGGTTGGAGACAGTGCCCTCGCGGTCACAGCGTGGGGAGCTCATGGCCTGGCTGGGGGCTGCCTCTCAGTGGCCAGGGAGGTTCCACGTGTCTTTGAGAATAGCAGGATCTGATAGAGTAAAGGCATTGCTCTCCCAGTGTAATGGGCTGTGCCCACCACAGCCGTGCAATGGCCTGTGGTCCGGGAACTCCGAAGCCGGTGTCCGTGCACATGTGACAGCTGTCGCAGCCCCGTGCAGGCTCCCCATGGCATCCCCTGCTGGAGCACCTTTCTCTTAGTGAATCACCCGACAGTTCCCCTGGAAGGCCAGCGTGCCTCTCGTTTCTGAATCCAGTTGAGCTCACCAGCAGCATCTGATACGTGGGGAGCGGCTCGCGTGAGCTTGGCTTTCCTCGCGAGGCTCCAGGCAGGCACCTGCGTAGGCTGCAGACATCTACTGAGGTCCTCAGCTCCTCTTGTGTGGGCCGCGGGGCGGCTACCTTGAGCTACTTCGTGACGTCTTGGCCAGACGGTTGGAAGCCGCGAGGGTCTCGCCGGCGACGTCCCCGCCGCCCTCCCTGTGTTCCCTCGTCGTCAGTCCCAGGACTTTGCAGATTCTCATCCTGCAGGGACAGGGCCTTTCCTTTCACACCCCACACTCACCGCCTTTGCCTTGGCCGCCTCACAGCTCTGCGTAAATGGGCAGCAGCCGGGGTGCACCCGTGGGGCGCCCACCCTGCAGGTGGTTCCGTCCCCGTGGCCTTCCGGCGTGCTCGGGCCCCTGCAGTGGCCTTCCTGCCAACCGTGCTGACGGCCACGCGGTGAACCTGCCGCCCAGGCATCCGTTACTCCTCACCTGTCGGCTGGCACAGGCTGTGCTCATTCATGGACAGATGTAGGAGCTGCGGTGCAAGGTTGTTTTCTGTTTTTGAAATGACCTTGTTGTTTTGCCTCCCCATTGGCTGTTCTTTTTTAATTAATTAATTAATTTGAAAAGCAGAGTCAGAGAGTGCTTTTATCTGCTGGTCCACTCCCCAAATGGCTGCAATGGCCAGGGCTGGGCCAATCCGAAGCCAGGAGCCAGGAGTTTCATCTGGGTCTCCCACACAGGTGCAGGGACCCAAGCACTTGGACCATCTCCTATGCTTTCCCGGGCCAGTAGCAGGGAGCTGGATCAGAAGTGGAGTAGCGGGACTCGAACACTCACGTGGGACGCCAGCACTGCAGGTGGCAGCAGCTTTACCTGCTGGGCCACAACGCCTGCCCCTTGTTGGCTGTTCTAAAGGGCCCTGATGCAACCATGTTCTCGGATAATCATGTCGAGAAACGGGGTTCAGAGCAGACCAGGACTTCAGTCGGGTGCTCTGTCTTTTTCCAAAGCTGAGAAGCCCGAGAAGTGAGTGGTGACGCATACCTCCCCGCCCCCGTGCCCTGAGATGGGCATCTGCTTGCAGAGCCCTCCCCATGCCTCCCTGTGTTCCCAGGACAGTTGGTTGGGGTTGGATAACAACCCGGTTGCATGTACATTCTAGGCACTGAAAGATGGTCCTGGGTCAGGTGTCTGAAGGTCGTTCTCCTATGCGAGAATGAAGCCAAGATATTGCAGAAGCTGAGAAAGGCCAGTGTGGGTGGCCTGAGCCTGGCCGGAGCTGGAGCCGAGCAGACCCTGACCCCTGTTACAAGGCAAGTGCCAGCCAGGGCCTGCGTGCCTGACTCCCTGCTGCCCAGCTCACCTCTGGCCTCATCTCCGTGGTGGCGCTTGCCTCCTATCCTGCAGGTGGCCTCCTCTGAAGTCTCCTGAGGATGGCCCTGGCTTCCGCTGGCTCAAAGCCGTGAGCTAGGAAGAGAAGGGGCCAGGCCCCAAGGCCCGTGCGGAGCCCTGTGTTCTGGAGGCTGCCTCCTGTTCTCTGTGGGGTGGATGCCAGGATGAGCAAGCCAGGAAGCGCTCATTCTGACACTCGCTTGGTGTCTCGCTGAAGAAAACAGTGTGTACGTCCACTTCCTTTTATGTTCTCCTTAACCCATCTCCTGCACTTTTAATTACAGCTTTAAGAAAGCAAAGAATGAAAACAGCCCCGACGTCCAAAGAAGCAGACCCCGTGCGCCGTGGGAGGAGGATGGCCCGCAGGGGTAAGGGGACTCCTTGTCTCGCAGAGCCCCGTGTAACAGGGATGCACCTCTGTGGCTCCCGCAGTGGGGGCCGGCAGCCCGGGGCTGGCTGCAGCTTGCACTGGACACAGGAGTCAGGTTCCTACATCAGCGCCACTCGGGGGGGGGTGGGGATGGGGTTCTCAAGTGGAGACCAATAGTGTGCTACTGCTTTTGTCGTTTTTAAGCTTATTTATTTATTTGAATGGGAGAATGAGAATGAGAAAGAGAAATAGAGGTCTTCCATCTGCTAGTTCACTCCCCAGATGGCCCCAACGGCTGGGGCTGGGCCAGGCCAAAGCCAGGAGCGTCATCCAGCTGTCTCACGTGGGCGGCAGGGGCCTAACCACTTGGGCCACTTTCTGCTGCTTTCCCAGGTGCATTAGCAGGGAGCAGGATCAGAAGCAGGTCAGGCAGGATTCGACTAGGTGCTCTGACACGGGCTGCTGGTGCGGCAGGCCACGGCCGAGCTTGCTGCTCCAGGGCCTGGCCCCGGCAGCCTCGTCTTACAGGCAGTGTGTTCCCGGGAGGACAGAGGGAAACAACTGGAAAAGAAGCAATTGCCCGAGTGATCATTGTGATAGAGTAAGGTAACACGGGGGTCTCCAAATAGTCCATGGAAAATGTGTATTGTGAAAAAGCTGTGCATAGATACCAAAATTTTTTGCAGCAAAATGAACTGGTTTTTTAATCTCATTTTTCCATAAGCTTTTGGAGGTGCCAGGTTACATTTCTGAGAATCCTAAATGACCTGTTAATGATAATTTTTCTTTTATGTAATTCCTGTAAAAACTTCCACTGAAAATCAGAGCTGATGAATAGTGATGCTAGGAGACTTTCATTTATAAAAATACGGATCTGTTGGGGCTGGTGTCGTGGCATAGTGATCAAGTCACCACCTGCAATGCTGGCATCCTGTGTGGGTGCCATTCAAATCCCGGCTGCTCCACTTCCAGTCCAGCTCTCTGCTAATGTCCTGGGAGAGCAGCTGAAGATTAACAGCCCAAGTGCTCGGGCCCATGCACCCACCTGAGAGACCTGGAAGCTCCTGGCTTTGGCCTGGCACAGCCCAGCCATTGCGGCCATCTGGGGAGTGAACCAGCGGTTGGAAGATTTCTCTGTCTCTGGCTCTCCATCTCTCTGGAATTCTGCCTTTCAAATAAATAAACAATATGTCTCTTTTTAAAATATGGGGGTACTGAGTTTCTCTCTGTTCACAACCAGCAAACCAGGCACAGACCCACGTGTCCAGGTGTGATAGCCCAGGGGTCCAGTGTTGGCTCGGCCACCTCCTAGCTGCTTTCCTCGGGCCACTGGGTGAAACATTCTGTGTTTCTGCTGTCTGTGACCATGTCTCAGTGCTGAGGGCTGACATGAAGACGAGCTCTGTGCTGTGGTCAGCTTTTCGTTACTGCGGTAAAATGCCCAAGACAGCTGCCTGTGAGCGGGGAGATTTAACTCTGCTCACGGGTGCCGAGGGTCCCAGCCCCGTTGCTCCGGCTTCCGGTGAGGCGGGAGGACGGGTGTGGCAGCGAGCGTGCCGAGGGATGACTGCACGGTGACCAGGGAGGCGGGCAGACAGGCTGCGCCCAGCTCCGCCTCTACACCCAGCCGTCTGTGAGACCCTCCCTCCGAGGGACCCTGGGTCCCCCGAGGCCCTCTCTCTGCCCCCCTCCCCCCCATGCCACCATGGCTGAAAGTTTCCACCCTCACCGTGCCTTCACCTTGCGTGACCCGAGTTTGGAGCCGCATCCCGTTCAAGCTACTGCACTGATGGCGAACAGAAAGCCTGGGCTAGTCCCTGCTGGCTGCTGGGCCGGCGCTTGGCAAGCCTCAGTGTTACTGTGGTCATTCGGGTGTGTCCGTGTATCCGTGCCTTCCTCCTGAAGGCCAAGGCTACTGGGGCAAGTCTGCTCCCGCAGAGTCCCGGCTGTTGTGCTGTGACTGACAGCTCTGGCCCCGCCCTTCACTCCCTGAGTCTCCTGCAGAGAGAACTGTGTAGCCAGGAACTGGTCCCCGGTCCCCAGGCCTGGCTCAGGGGCACCTGCTCCTTTGGGTCTGCCGGGCCTGTTGACTGTCCTCTTTCTCTCCAGCGGGCTCTACCACTGTCCCAACGACCGCACCCGGTCCCCGAAGTTCCCCTGCACGCGTCGCCGGGCCCCCTCCTGCGGGAGCGACAATGACCCTGCACAGCCCCTGAGGAGGAGGTAAGCAGAGCCCAGCCGCTCGGGAGACTCCTTCCAGCAGGAGCCTGGAGCACAGGCTCGCCCGCCTTCCTGGGAGTCACCAGGCCGGTGACTCTGCCGGCACCACTGCTGCTCCAGAGTAACAGGTGGTGCTCGGTTGGGGTACAGTCAGCCAGGGGTCCTGAAGCAGCCGGGATCTAAGAGAGTAATGTCGTAACACATTGGCAGGGGCTTGCTTTTGTATTTTCATTAAGATGGGTCAGTTAACAGCGCGCGTCTCGGTCGTGTCCTAGCAGTCCATCGCGTGTGGTGTGTGCCTCACGTGGTACCTGAGGTTCATGGTTGCTCTCTGGGAAAACTGCACCTACACGTCAGGGTCTGGGCTGCAGGTGGGTGATGTGACAGAGCGTGGGTGAAACCCTCTGGGGCACAGAACGAGAGCCCTGTTGTGTCTTCTAGCGGCTCAGAAGTCTCCTGTGATTGCAGCTGTGTCTGTCCTCGTAAAAATAGCTCCAACAGGCTTGGGCTCTGCAGAGCAGGCTGGGCGTGGAGCGGGTGCGAGATCTGGGATGGCCTCCCAGTGAGGTTCCTGCCCCTCGCGGGTTGTGGGGACTGTGTCTTACCCTGGCCACCCGGTACGTAACTGGCCTTTACCAGTAATTTTATAGCTGCAGGAAGGAAGCTCCGGTCAGGCCGTCAGGTGAGCCTTGAGGCTTGACGTGACTGCTGCGGGCCAGGAAGTGGTTCATTCTCACCCGATTGATCTCTTCCCAGAGCCTTGTTCCCCAGCTTCCTCGGACTGAGTCCGACTTCACCGTCACACAGCTCAGGGCCAACACGGGTTAGACAGAAAGGCGGGCAGTGGTTGGCATCGGCTTGGGGTTTGTCGTGTTCCCAGCACTGAGGTTCACAGATGAGAAAACGGGAGCTCAGGGAGGTGACTGCTTTTGTCCTGCGACCCAGGTCTGCAGGTCAGAAAAAGGGGCGCGTGGAATCTGCATTTAAGCAAGGCCCTGCCCGGCCCTCCTGAGCTTTCTCCTCTGCTACAGCAAGGTTCATTAGAGTCCATGTGTGTGTCCACACGTGTGTTTGTGTGTGCATGCTTTTGTGACACTGCGTGCACACATGTCCCTGTGCCTGTGTGTGCCTTGTGTGCACACATAAGCGTACATGTGTGTCTCTGATTTTTATCATTTTTCATCCTTGATTGATAGTATGATTTATAAGCACTCCACAAATAAAATTAAAACGTGTTAAGCAGATAACTGTTTTGATCTTAACACATTTGAAAATGAATTTATCAAGGCTTGCTAAAATATGCAGATGTGGACGTTACTGTTTACAGACTAATAGCACACGGTACTGCGGAGCGTGCGCAGCCCAGCTGCAGACTTGCTGGCCCGTGCACCGAGATGTGCTTTCTGCTGGCCTCCTGGAAGCGCAGACGGGAGCTTGTGAGGCCTGGACAGGGGCCCTCTCGTGGGTGTCATCAGGGAAAGGCTATTGTGATTTGCCCAGCAGAGAATCATTTCGCCCAAGTGGCCGGGGAGACTCCATCTGGTTCTGCCCCCACTTGCAGGCCCCCTTCGATCCACTGGCCTGGAGGCGGAAGTGCCTTCTTCCCTCTGTCCTTGCTGCGCACGCGGCCCTGTGCCTGCCCGTCCACTTCAGCGTCACGTGCTCTTCCCTTGTCCTGGACACAGGTCCCTGCAGGCCGGATGGACTGACACTTACACCCAGCTTTGTCAGCTGCATGGAAGAATCCCAAGGACTTAGGTTTGGAAATGCCTTTGGTTGTCGGATGCCAGGGTAACGTGCTCTGCCAAAGGTATCCAGATGCCTGGTTTTGCCAGCAGGATGGCGTAAGGTCTCAGGTGCTGGCCGAGTCCGGGCAGTGGCCCTCTCGAGTCCAGGGCAGTGGCCCTCTCGAGTCCAGGGCAGTGGCCCTCTGCCTCTTGGGGTGACCGAAGCCTCTGGGGCTCTGATGAAACCTTGGACTCGGTCCCTCAGGGACAAAGACCCACCCTAATGTGCCCATAGGCAGTTTCATGCTGTTTCCAGGGTTTATGGAGCCCCTCAAACCTGCTTGGTTGACATCCCTGCTCTAGAGAAAGCCAGTGTAGTTCTGGGGTACAAAGTCCCTGCCCCTTCCTCCTCCATCTTTAGACCCAGAGGGTTTACTGAGTGCTGCATTCCCGGCAGTGTGTGTGACAACCCCCAGCGAAACCCTGCCCCCTGGTGAGCAGAGGTCTTGGGCGTCTGAGATCACGGTGCTTTGGGAAGGGAGTCTGGACTGAGGGGGATTAACCTTGCAGGAAGCCTGGTCCACCTGCCCTCAGTGAAGCCATTGGGAGCTATGCACAAACAAGACCCCTGTGCAGTCAGCGCTGTTGGTGAGGGTTCCCAGAGCTGGATTCTTAAGCCAGGATCTGACATGGAAGCACTCAAATAAGAAAGACTGTGCCAGCCAGGGGCAGGCGTGCACAGCCTTGGGCTGGAAGGGAGCAGGGAGCAGTGAGGGAAAGGAAGGCAGACCGCTGTTGCTCAGGCTCTGAGAGCGAGCAGAATGTGCTGGAAACGAGCCCCTGGAGAAAGACGGGGCCAGAGAGGATGCTGGTCTTCAGAGCAGGGAGGGGAACCCTGTGGTTGCATTTGTGCTGGCCAAGATGGCCCTCTGTCCTGTGGAGAGTGGTAACGGGACCCTGGGGGTGGAGAGCCAGGCTGCAGACGGTCTTCTGAGCGTTGGCCGCTGGGGCTGGGCGTGGACAGCTGCTGACACCTGGGAGGTGTAAGCCAGAGGGTGGTCGAGAGCCGTTGGGAGGTCTGAGGGCGCAGGAGATGTGGAGACTGAATCCCAGGCTTCCGTGATGCAGGAGTGCAGGGGTGATGCACGGGCGGGAGAGTCACCAGGACCTCGCGCTCGAGAGGCTGTGAGCTCAGATGTCGCATTTGTGGGACTGAGAGCTCAGTGTCTGACCTGTCACACGCGTGGGACCCTGGGCTCAGCACCTGTGATGTCACACGTGTGGGACCATGGGCTCAGCTCCTGTGATGTCACATGTGTGGGACCCTGGGCTCAGCGCCTGTGATGTCACATGTGTGGGACCCTGGGCTCAGCGCCTGTGATGTCACACCTGTGGGACCCTGGGCTCAGCTCCTGTGATGTCACACAGATGGGACCCTGGGCTCAGCTCCTGTGATGTCACACCTGTGGGACCATGGGCTCAGTGTCTGTGATGTCACACACATGGGACCCTGGGCTCAGCACCTGTGATGTCACACACATGGGACCCTGGGCTCAGTGTCTGTGATGTCACACCTGTGGGACCCTGGGCTCAGCACCTGTGATGTCACACACATGGAACCCTGGGCTCAGCTCCTGTGATGTCACACTTGTGGGACCGTGGGCCCAGGGCCCACCGTGCACCCCTGTGGGACCCTGGGCTCAGCACCTGTGATGTCACACACATGGGACCCTGGGCTCAGCACCTGTGATGTCACACCTGTGGGACCCTGGGCTCAGCACCTGTGATGTCACACACATGGGACCCTGGGCTAAGTGCCTGTGATGTCACACACATGGGACCCTGGGCTCAGCGCCTGTGATGTCACACACATGGGACCCTGGGCTCAGCGCCTGTGATGTTACACCTGTGGGACCCTGGGCTCAGCGCCTGTGATGTTACACGTGTGGGACCCTGGGCTCAGTGCCTGTGATGTCACACGTGGGACCCTGGGCTCAGCACCTGTGATGTCACACCTGTGGGACCCTGGGCTCAGCGCCTGTGATGTCACACACATGGGACCCTGGGCTCAGCGCCTGTGATGTCACACACATGGGACCCTTGGCTCAGCGCCTGTGATGTTACACCTGTGGGACCCTGGGCTCAGCGCCTGTGATGTTACACCTGTGGGACCCTGGGCTCATCGCCTGTGATGTCACACGTGTGGGACCCTGGGCTCAGTGCCTGTGATGTCACACGTGGGACCCTGGGCTCAGCACCTGTGATGTCACACCTGTGGGACCCTGGGCTCAGCACCTGTGATGTCACACACATGGAACCCTGGGCTCAGCACCTGTGATGTCACACCTGTGGGACCCTGGGCTCAGCACCTGTGATGTCACACCTGTGGGACCCTGGGCTCAGCACCTGTGATGTCACACACATGGAACCCTGGGCTCAGCACCTGTGATGTCACACGTGTGGGACCCTGGGCTCAGCACCTGTGATGTCACACCTGTGGGACCCTGGGCTCAGCTCCTGTGATGTCACACCTGTGGGACCCTGGGCTCAGCACCTGTGATGTCACACCTGTGGGACCATGGGCTCAGCTCCTGTGATGTCACACCTGTGGGACCCTGGGCTCAGCACCTGTGATGTCACACCTGTGGGACCCTGGGCTCAGCTCCTGTGATGTCACACCTGTGGGACCCTGGGCTAAGTGCCTGTGATGTCACACACATGGGACCCTGGGCTCAGCTCCTGTGATGTCACACACATGGGACCCTTGGCTCAGCGCCTGTGATGTTACACCTGTGGGACCCTGGGCTCAGCGCCTGTGATGTTACACGTGTGGGACCCTGGGCTCAGCGCCTGTGATGTTACACCTGTGGGACCCTGGGCTCAGCACCTGTGATGTCACATGTGTGGGACCCTGGGCTCAGCGCCTGTGATGTTACACCTTTGGGATCATGGGCTCAGTGCCCAAGATGCCCCATGCATGATTCCTCCAGAAAGCCCACGTGCAGGCCGTATGTGGGTTTAAGTCAGGAGCTAGGTTAGCTGTGTGAACTGAGTGGGGGTTTCTTGGCGATTTTGGTTACAGTGTGTCTCAGAGATGAGGCAGCCTGGGTGGATGGTGTGGCCCAGGGACGAAGACCAAGCCGGTAGCAGTACTGTGAGAAAAGCCAGCGTCAGGAGGCTTGGTTGAAGAGTAGCTGGCAGAGGGGACTGAGAAACAATGTCCCTGGGAAACATCCAGGTAGTGGACCTTTGCCGGCCCGGGGGCGCCCTCCTCTCTGCACTTCCGAGTGCGCAGAGCCAGTCTGCTGCCTCCAGGAAGAAAGGTAGAGACCACTCTCAGGGTGGACAGGTGCAAGAAGAGAGGCTGCCAGACCCCGATTTCACAACAGCCCCGAGAAGGGCTGCCACTGCCCCCCGAGTGGCCCCACAGCCCAGGGGAGTGGGGAGTCCATGCCAGGTAAGCAGGACTGGGAGGAAAGGGGAGGGGAGAGGAGTGAACCCACAGATGGGCACCCAGGCTAGGACAGGGTGGGTGGAGAGTCCAGGAGTGTTCCCAGGCCCAGGGCCCACCATGTACCAAGGTGGGTGGAGAGTCCAGGGAGTGTTCCCAGGCCCAGGGCCCACCATGTACCAAGGTGGGTGGAGAGTCCAGGGCGTGCTCCCAGGCCCAGGGCCCACCGTGCACCAAGGTGGGACAGGGTGGGTGGAGAGTCCAGGGCGTGCTCCCAGACCCAGGGCCCACCGTGCACCAAGGTGGGTAGAGAGTCCAGGGAGTGTTCCCAGGCCCAGGGCCCACCGTGCACCAAGGTGGGACAGGGTGGGTGGAGAGTCCAGGAGTGTTCCCAGGCCCAGGGCCCACCATGCACCAAGGTGGGTGGAGAGTCCAGGAGTGCTCCCAGGCCCAGGGCCCACCATGCACCAAGGTGGGTGGAGAGTCCAGGAGTGCTCCCAGACCCAGGGCCCACCGTGCACCAAGGTGGGACAAGGTGGGTGGCGAGTCCAGGGCGTGCTCCCAGGCCCAGGGCCCACCGTGCACCAAGGTGGGTGGAGAGTCCAGGAGTGCTCCCAGGCCCAGGGCCCACCGTGCACCAAGGTGGGACAAGGTGGGTGGCGAGTCCAGGGCGTGCTCCCAGGCCCAGGGCCCACCGTGCACCAAGGTGGGTGGAGAGTCCAGGAGTGCTCCCAGACCCAGGGCCCACTGTGCACCAAGGTGGGACAAGGTGGGTGGCGAGTCCAGGGCGTGCTCCCAGGCCCAGGGCCCACCGTGCACCAAGGTGGGACAGGGTGGGTGGAGAGTCCAGGGCGTGTTCCCAGGCCCAGGGGCTGCTGTGCACCAAGGTGGGACAGGGTGGGTGGAGAGTCCAGGGCGTGTTCCCAGGCTCAGGGCCCACCATGCACCAAGGTGGGTGGAGAGTCCAGGAGTGCTCCCAGGCCCAGGGCCCACCGTGCACCAAGGTGGGACAGGGTGGGTGGAGAGTCCAGGGCGTGCTCCCAGGCCCAGGGCCCACCGTGCACCAAGGTGGGACAGGGTGGGTGGAGTCCAGGAGTGTTTCTGGGCCCAGGGGCTGCTGTGCGTCATGGCAGGGACACATTTTGTCCTCGTAACCATTCCGAGAGGAAACTAAGGCACAGGGTAGGGAAGTCACTTGTTCAAGTCACACAACTGGGGGGTGGGGGGAGTGTGTGAAGGTGACCACGAGGAGAGCAGTGTCTGGAAGGGGTTCCAGAGGGTGACCAGGTGTGGCCGTGATGTGGGCTGCAGACTTGTGGTGGCAGAGGTCTCCAGGGAGGGGATGAGGGGACTTGGAGCCCAGAGTGGCGAGGGTGTCCAGGTGGGAGCTGGCCGTGGTTACTCAGCCACCGTCAAGAGTTGTAGGCCGCAGGATGGGGGCTGACCCCCGAGGGCTGGAGGGCAACCCAGAGGCAGGTTGTGCGTGCAGTGTACATGGCACTGGGCTGTCGGCGGCCTGGACCCAGCTGGTGTTGTGTTACCTCTCTGGGCTCTGTGGAGCTGGGTGTGTACGAGTGACTTAGGCGTTTGCGAGTGACCAAGTGGCAGACGTTAAGTAATGAACGAAAGGCGTCCTGCTGTGCTGTCCCCAGGTGTGGGACAGTGCTCTGTCTTTGTCCCTGTCTTTGTTGCTCTCCGAGGCAGTCCCTCAGCAGTGGTGTGGATCAGAGGGGTCGAAGGGGTGGGAGACGGGCACAGAGGGGCAGAGGCTCACGGGGTGAGCAGCACTTGCGGCTGACCGGGAGTGGGCTGTTTTTCCTTTGTGAGTGGCTGCTCTGAGTGTTGTTCTCTCTCTCTGTCTCTCTCTCTCTCTCTCTCTCTCTCTCACACACACACACACACATGCAAAATCCAGTTTTGGCTTCTGCCGCTGTCCGTCTCCCATTCTGTCACACCCCACCACTTTCTGCTTTTCTGTCCCCTGGGTTTCGGTGGGCCCCTCGGTTTCCCACAGCTCTCAGCACCTGCTCTGATGCCTGGTGGCTTAGGGCGCAGCACCCTATCTCATGCAATTCTGCGGATTGAATGCAGTTCCCGGCTGGTCTTGTTCAAGGTCTCACGTGAGGCTGTGGTCAGACAGTGGCTGGAGCCATGTTGTCCAGGGAGCCGTTCTCTCTCTCAGTGCTTGGGCTGGCCGTGGCTTCTGCAGGTGGGCCCTGCGAGGAGGAAGACGCTCCCTGTCCTGTCCAGGCCGGCTCTGGGCTGGCCGTGGCCTCTGCAGGTGGGCCCTGCGAGGAGGAAGACGCTCCCTGTCCTGTCCAGGCCAGCTCTGGGCTGGACGAGCATCTGCTCCTCAGTCTAAACCAGGACCCCTGCAGATCCAGGGCAGGGGATGGACTGCACCTGTTTCGATGGGGGCAGGCCGGGCAGGGCTTTGCATCCACACGTGATACCAGGGCTGGGACGGGGTGGACACGAGTTTGCATCCCTGTGTAGTCACCATGGATAGGGACGGGGTGGACAGGGCTTTGCATCCATGCATAGTCACCAAAGACAGGGACAGGAGTGGACATGGCTTTGCATCCGTGTATAGTCACCATGGATAGGGACGGGGTGGACAGGGCTTTGCATCCCCGTGTAGTCACCATGGATAGGGATGGGGTGGACAGGGCTTTGCATCCCTGTGTAGTCACCAAAGACAGGGACAGGAGTGAACATGGCTTTGCATCTGTGTATAGTCACATGCATAGGGATGGGGTGGACATGGCTTTGCACCCAGGTGTCGTCACCATGGATACGGACGGGGTGGACAGGGCTTTGCATCCGTGTGTCGTCACCATGGATAGGGACGGGGTGGACATGGCTTTGCATCCGTGTGTCGTCACCATGGATAGGGACGGGGTGGACAGGGCTTTGCATCCGTGTGTCGTCACCATGGATAGGGACGGGGTGGACATGGCTTTGCATCCGTGTGTCGTCACCATGGATATGGACCGGGTGGACAGGGCTTTGCATCCCTGTGTAGTCACCATGGATACGGACGGGGTGGACAGGGCTTTGCATCCGTGTGTCGTCACCATGGATAGGGACGGGGTGGACATGGCTTTGCATCTGTGTGTAGTCACCATGGATAGGGACGGGTTGGACAGGGCTTTGCATCCCCGTGTAGTCACCATGGATAGGGAAGGGGTGGACATGGCTTTGCATCCCTGTGTAGTCACCATGGATATGGACCGGGTGGACAGGGCTTTGCATCTGTGTGTAGTCGCCATGGATAGGGACGGGGTAAACAGGGCTTTGCATCCATGTGTCGTCACCACGGGAGCTCACAGCTTTGCTGTGTCATGGTTTTGTTGGAAAAGATTGATTTTTGAGGTCTTTTCTGGGAACATGATGACATCTGCCTTGATCTGCTTTCATGTTCCCTGCGTTGGAGTGTGCCTGAGTTCAGAAACACCGCCTGGGAGAGGGCCGTTGTACGCTTTATGTCTGGATGAGTTACTGTACTGCATAGTTAACTCCAGGCGACCACCATGAACCCCTCTGTGATGTTGCATCTGTCCTAAGCGTGGGCTTTTCTTCTGCTCTTTTTGTTATCTCCAGGTCACGCTCACGCTGTAACACGAGCAGCGGCAGTGAGTCAGAAAATTCTAGCAGAGAACACCGGAAGAAGAGAAACAGGTAAAACACACGTCTGCTGCTTCCCTGGAGCCATGATACAGGACGTGCTGTGCGGGAGCCGAGTGTCCCGTGTCTGCAGGCCGCTTCCCTCGCCCGCGTTGGGGAAGAGCCTGGCGCTATTTGAGACATTAATCGAGGAAACCTCGGGTAGTTGAGTTGATTTTTCTCGACTGTCAGACAACTACAGAACTTGACAAGGAGGTCTTCTTACTTTTTAAATGTTCTTTATTTTTTTTATTTTTATTTTTTTATTTTTTGACAGGCAGAGTGGACAGTGAGAGAGAGAGACAGAGAGAAAGGTCTTCCTTTGCCGTTGGTTCACCCTCCAATAGCCGCCGCGGCCAGCGCACTGTGCTGATCCGATGGCAGGAGCCAGGTGCTTCTCCTGGTCTCCCATGGAGTGCAGGGCCCAAGGACTTGGGCCATCCTCCACTGCACTCCCTGGCCACAGCAGAGAGCTGGCCTGGAAGAGGGGCAACCGGGACAGAATCCGGCGCCCCGACCGGGACTAGAACCCGGTGTGCTGGCACCGCAAGGCGGGGGATTAGCCTACTGAGCTGCGGCGCCGGCTAAATGTCCTTTAAATCAGTGTATGAATGAATTCGTCCAGGGCTGGAAGGAAAGTTGACCATTTGTAGAGAAAGCCTTCTCTGAAGTGTAGTTTAAAATTATGTGACTTTATTTTACCCAAACAAAACCAAGACCTGGTATTCTATGGATCCCATAGTTGCAACCCCATGAACATATGAGAAATACCAGGTGCTTGCATCCCAGCACTCACAGGTGAGTTACCAGGTACTTAACACCACAGCACTCACAGGTGAGCTACCAGGTACTTAACACCACAGCACTCACAGGTGAGCTACCAGGTACTTAACACCACAGCACTCACAGGTGAGCTACCAGGAGCCTACATCTCAGGTCACACAGGTGAGCTACCAGGAGCTTACATCCCAGGTCACACAGGTGAGCTACCAGGTGCCTACATCCCAGGTCACACAGGTGAGCTACCAGGTGCCTACATCCCAGGTCACACAGGTGAGCTACCAGGAGCTTACATCGCAGGTCACACAGCACACACAGGTGAGCTACCCAGCATGTGCAGGTGAGTCGAGGGCATCAGTCAGCGTCTCTGACTCCCTGTCTAGAGTTGTTGGTGACATCATTAGTATGTACTCAGTCTGGTGGGGGCTTCCTGCTCTGACCAGCTCTTCCTGGTTCCAAGATACTTACCTGAAAGCAGCCAGTGTTGACGAGGGTAACAGAATGAGCCCGGGGTTGGACGTTGGAGGTCTTGGCTGTCTGTCCTGGTTTCTAGCCCTGTGGCTCTCCCCAGCCCCTCCCCAAGGACATTTGGCAGTGTCTGGAGACGTTTGTCATGTCACCCTTGGGTGGGGGCTGCTGCTGGCCAGGGACGTTGCTGATACCCTGTGGTGCCCGGGATGGTCTAAGATGGATGCGCCGTGTGGAGCCCCCACTTTGACTTTGCAGCTCTGGCCTGGGCGCCTCACGGTTCTGGGCTGTCTTCCCTTCTGTAGGATGAGGACGCTGGGCTGGGGGGCCTTGTGCTGGGCGTGAAAGCAGCCGGCTGCTCTCTCCAGGTACAGACTGTACCCGTAGCCCAGGCAGCAGGGTCAGAGCCCCTCTCTGTCGAGGACAGCTGTCTCCAGGGGTCTCTGTAGCTAAGGCCTGGAATAAACCGAGAGGGGAGGTCTCGGACCCCCTGCACTCCCACCTCCCTCTAAGAGAGCACGGCCTGGAGAGGAGGCGACGTGGGGGCAGATTCGCTTTTCAGCCACCCCGAGTCGGAGATGTGCTGGTGGAGGTTGTGCATGGGCACTGGGATGCGGTTGCTCTCGCACGTTTTTCCTGTTGGATTTTCCTTGTTTAACACACGGGCCGCCGTGTCCCGTGGGCCTGAGACCACACGCTGGGTGGGAGTGTGGTTTCAGTAAACAAAGGCAGCCCGTGGGTGTTTCAGCTGCTTTGTTTCCACGAATGAGGATTTGAACATGTCCCATTTGGTGGGAAGAGAAACTAAAGTTCTAAGAGAATGTTTACGAATCAGCAGCACCCGAAGCAGGCTTCTAACAGCCGTGGAAGAAACTTGATGGCCGCCAGCTCTGGAAGGCTGACGTTAGAAACCAGGAGTGCTGTCCAGTTCAGCTTCACTTTCAGGAAAGTTCAGCCGAGAATAAGCACCTGTGTCTGCCCCCCCGCCCCCCACCTCTGCCCCGGGCCTGGGGCTCCCCACAGGGCCTCCCTGCCCTGTGTTGAATGTTCCTGTTCTGTTCGGGCCCCTCTCGGGCGTCCCTGGGGCAGCCCTATGCTCCCCACTTGTTGCTCCTTCTCTGCCCTCCACTGTCGGGGATACGCCCTGCGGTTTGCTGGGCTTTGAGGTTTGAGAGCCTTTATGGCCAGGAAGCTGGGGAGTGGCATTGTCAGCCGAGAGCACAGCGCCCTGCCTGCCTTGCTCCTGGGCGCATGTCCTCCCCTCCACCCCCGCGTCCCTTGCCTGGTCCCTTTCCTTCGCTTTCCCGGGCTTCCTCCCCACTGCCTGCGTTCCTCCGTCTTCTCTGAGCTCCATGTCCACGAAGGAGCCAGGCACAGGTGCATCACGGCGGTTGCGGTTCTGCCTGTGGGTCACCTCATTTAACTAGTACCGAGCTTAGCACCGGTCTTTATGGTGGCCGAGGGACTGAGCTCCGACCTGTGTTGCTGAGCGAGTTATGTGGGGGTCACGTGAAACCTTGGAGGTGCGGTGCTCTGGGGTTCAGACACGGATGTCCTAAGCCCAGTTCTGGCGTCGCTGCCTCGTCTCCCCTGTGCTGTCTGCCTCCTGCCTTTCCTGCTTTGCTCTGGGTCCCGTCTCCTGTTCTCCCACCTTTACTGACTTTGCACATTGACTTATTTTACACCACATGTTCTTATTTTTATTCACTTGAGAGGCAGGCAGAGGAAGGGAGAGGGAGAGAGGGTGAGCTCCTCCACCTGCTGATTCGCTTCTCCAAATGCCTGAGCAGCTGGGACAGGACAGGGCTGGAACCAGGATCCAGGAGTTCCATCCGGGTCTCCCATGTAGTGGCAGAAACCCAACTGCTTGAGCTACCCCTGCTACCTCCCAGGGTCTACACTGGCAGGAAGCTGGACTCAGGAGCCAGAGCTAGGCACTGTGATATATGGAATGTGGGCATCTCACCCACGAGGCTTAATGCCTGCCCCCATTTCAGGCATTCTTAATCTTTGATTCCTGTGTAAGTTTTAGGGGCCTCGTGTGTAAAACTGTGTGTGCTTCAAGTCCACAGTGTGCTGGGGGCCCAGTCTGTAGTCTCTAGCAGATCCGGAGGGCTGTTCATGCAGGATGCACTGTGCTCTAACCGTGATGGGTAGGTCGGCATTGGGGAAGGAAGTGAGTGTTTCCACGGTAGCGTTAGAAGCTCAAATGTTTAAACTTCCTGTAGAGATTGCTTCCTTTGCTACGCTCATTGATGAAACAATTGGTTCAGTTACAAACATCAAACCGGAGCTTCCTAAGGGCAGACACAATGAAGTCAGTGACCCGGTGGATGTTAGCTGGTGTGCATTTTCGAGGTGTGCAACTCTGTCTGGTGTCCCCGAAGGTAGGGGACAGTTTCTGTGGCTGAAATTCTGCCTGTAGCCAGCAGGGACGGTGCATCAGAGGAGGACAAGTCTAGAGGGCAGTGGTCTTGTGGGCATCCTGCTGGGAGCGCCTTCTGGTTTGCACCACAGGGAGAATGAAGTGTTTGTGGTGTCAG